ATGCAACTCAAAGTGGAATTGCTTTGAACCTATCTGCGCACGGTGACCCAAGTCTTTGTAATTGTCAACATACGTGGCCTTTCAACTCCAAAGCAAACTTCCTGCCCTGTGTCTTTGCTACTTGCTAGCTGTGTAACCCTGAGTAGACTCACTCTGCTCCCGAGTTTCACGTGTACAAAGTAGGAGCAAAAACCTCCTATTCAAAGGTTGCCGTGAGGATTAAATTATGAGACAATCACTCAGCAGTCTGTGCACAGAAATAAGAGCTTATTAATATGATGTATGCGCTTGATGCCCCTCACCCTGGATCTTGCTAAGTCAACAGCTTCTAATGGTTTTTCCCCCTTAGTTTATCCTCATTTCATGATGTGTGTCCATCTTGCTGCCTGTAACCACTAACATAGACACATCATCTCCCGTCTTGTTAAGGAGCACTCCTGAGTTTAAACAGAAGCCATCTTCCTCTATTCATGAGCAATAGTTGGCTTTTTCAAATGTATCTTTTTCTGTTGACATTATAAATACATTGTTTTTAATATGCCCATTGTCTATTTATAATAATAAATAAGCAATAAATAATGCCTTAGTAATGTCCACAGTGTATCCCAAGTGTAGCACAAGCACCACCAGTATTTAAACTTTTGAAATGCCAAGTGTTAAGGTAACATATCAACCGTGATCGCCATCTGTTGGTAGTGGCTGGTGTAGACTCCCATTTCCTAAGGTCTGTAACTTGGAAGAGGGGAAGGGTGTGCACGCCTTTGCACATACACAACCAACGCTCACATCCTGTAAGGAGGTACACCGCCACTTAGACATAGGACTTTAGGTGATTTTGATTTTGCCAACCTAATAATCTGTGTTCTAATTCTAGTAGTATGTTGCTTTTGTGATTAAGATAAACCAAAGAAGTGGGGAACATAATTGTGGAAGGAGAAAGCTATGGGGACAGCAGATAATTTTTTTTAATTAAAACTAAAGTATGTTTGGTTTTACTCATAAGCGGAAATGGGGGAGAGAGGAGTAAACCAAAAGAAGCTTTAGTACGTTCTGAGCAGTTCTCCAGCCATGTCCACAGGAGCAAGGAGGTCTAAATGTGGATTCTTAACTTGTTACCCTCTCCCTTTGAAATTCTAATTATTCTGCAGTCACGTCTCTTAATTACTCTCTATCCTTTTTCTGCCAGTGCTTCCTCTGGAGTGGATTAGCTCCTCTTAGCAAAGAGTATTATAATCAGGGGTAGTGAGGGCTGTGGTCTGAGCCTAGGTACTTTGAAGATGGATAAAACCTAAAGAATCAACCTAGACAGGCTGGCTTCCTCCCAGCCCTACACCTTACATTCCGGGGTGTGTCCTGCTTGGTGTTCTCATAATGTGCGTTCTGCCAGGCAAGCGCCCCTATTTACCCAGTGCAGTGTACATCTCTCTCCCTTAATAATAAAAAAAAAAAAACAAGAGTACAAATAGGAACAAGGGAAGCCGAAAGTTTTTATTCCTTTATAAATTTGTACCCAAACATCTGTTAATCTTGTGGGTGCTGGTGATTGACAGTAGATGTAGATTAAGTTCTAATTATCTGTAACACCCCTACCCCCACAACCCTCACCACCCCCCCCCACCCCCGTTGTTAAATCTTACTGCAAGTAAAGCTGTCAGAGCAATAGTGACCATTTGGCATTCTGCTCTGAGCGTAGCTTCTGAGTGGCCAACATGGAGATGTTTAATGAAAGCGAAACCCCTTAACACCCCTCAGTGGCTCCAGATAATCACCTCGCCATGTGCAGGAGCCAGTGGACCATAACTCCACAGACAGTGAAAACCCTCGTAACTTTCTGTGAAATCAGAGTCTTTTTGTCCTAGCCCACGAGCTGATGAAAGCCACAAATGGAAAGTAAAACTGATAAATTTCAGAAATGCTTCCTCTGTTCCTTTCCTCTTTGTCAGTCTCGAACCATGTGTTTGTTTCATGCTAAAAGTAAATATTGCTCGGCCTTGGAAAGAAAACGAGACTCAGTACTGAGGTGGAGGAGACCGTCTGGTCCTCCCAACTCCTTTCATAGCTGAGCTTATGAAGGACAAACTGCTTCTCACAATCACTTTATAGACAGGTTGCAGTGAAAACTTTAAAGACTGCATTTTTTTTTTTGAATTTTGTAAACTTAGGCAAACCATGACCTTGTTTGTTTTCTTTTTTATCACTCACAAAAATGAGAGTAGCAACTGCTTTTGAAAGTAAGTAAAACACATAGCGTATATAACATGCCACACGTAACCTCATTGTTGCTCATGGCACGGCTCTTAAGAGTGTAAGTAGGACTTGGGTAACTGTAATCCCCTTTAATATTTCTACAGTGAATCAGTGAGACAATTAGGGCTGGCTTCTGGGAAGGAAGATTTGCACAGGGCCTTCGGGATCAAGGTGTGTAAGCTGAGGTAATGGGCAGGTGGTGTGGGCATGTCTAAAGTGGTGCTTGAGGTTGATTTATGCAGCAGATGGGTCCTTTCAGAAGGACCAGTGATGTGGAGGCTGGGGGATTTTTTGGTGCTTTTTAAATAAGTCTAGACAGTATAGGGAATTTTGGAAGCACCAGAGACAAAACTCAGCAGGGTCACAGTCTGTATTTGGAATGTCTGAGTTGACACCGTCCCGGGTAGCCTGAGCTTGGAGGAAACGGGAGAGTAAAGTGTCACTGAGTAAACATACAAGGAGGAGATGGAACAGTGTTTGGGATGCTTTTGAGACTCTAGACTTTAGACAGTGGTGAGCATGAGGCAATTTCTAACTAATACTTGATATCCTAATGTAGTATTAAGATATTTAAGTAAAAAGAAAGGTTAAAAGGGAAAGATAGGAAAGAGAAATAGCATTATTGCATCTATATCTCTGGATAAATGTCCAAATAAAGATGATCAAGGATCAAATATTAAATTTAAGGAGGGAGTAAAGAAGCAGAACGGACCAGGCACCCCTGAGCAGGTCACTGGCATGGAATGAGAGGCACCCCTGTGGCTACCGTCGCCCACAGTGAGGAGAAACACACACAGCATAGGTGTGAGGGTGAGCTTCGATGTCACAGGCTGCGGAGAAGAAGATCAGTGGGCAGTCACGTGCTGCAGCCTGTGTGTTAACCTCTCACCTCCCAACATCTCCATGTCTTTGCCATCATGAAGTGTTCAGAGCAACAGCAGAGGACACAGTGCCAACCCCTGGCCTCCAGAATGTCCTACTTTCTGGCTGACAAAGAGCCGTGGTTTCTTAGAGACCTCAGAGATAGTATCCTAACTTCAGTGACTGTGCCCTTATTTGAAGCTGGAGTCATACCAGCTGTTCCTGTGTTTGGAAGAGTGTGACAGAATCTAAGAAGTGCTTCCGTGGACAACTGCCCATGAGAGAATGAATAACTGCTGGGAGTAACGGAGCATGTGACCTTGGAAAAGGAGTGACTGCCAAAGGGCCATCTTTATGTCTGCCATTCTTTGTTTTCAGCGTTTGTGCTTCTTTACATGTATTTCTGTAAACTTAGTGATCCGTAGTAATGTCGTTATGAGTACTCAGGGTTTCTTCGGGGAATTGGAGGTGTTTGTGCTGCATTATGCCTCTTGGATGTAATTATCATTTGAACCTTAAATTATCCTTCCTTTCATGCCTAGTTAGAACTCACTTGACTACATGATTATACAGAGTGGAAGGGAAGGACTTAAATGGACAAGAGAGGTGGCCTGTGCCTTTTGGTTCTTTCAGACAAATACATTTCAGCTGCTTTTACAAGTCTAAGTGTATAATATTCAGAGTGGCATAAAATATAATGTAGAACTCTATGACTGCCTAACACCCTTAAGACATTTGTAAGTTGCTCTTCCTCCTCGGTGCCTCAGTGTACTTGTGACATGCTAGACAAGTGCTCAACCACCCAGCCACCTCCTCAGCAAGAGGGCTCCATTTTTTTTTTTTAATCCACAAAAGACAATTGTGAGAAAGGCATAAAAGAACATGATTTAAAGCGTGTAAATTAACCATCAGGAAAATGGAATTGTAGAACTCAGTATGTATACATGAGGAAATTTAGGCCCCAGATGTAGGAAAATATCTCCTGTACATTTTTTTCAAAGTTTCCCCTGAGCGTTTAGAAACCAAGTACAGGTTGTAGTGTTTTTCCTCGGGGTCTGCACTGAGATGGTATGGGGTTAGTATTCTCTCTATATTTGTAAATTATATTTAATCTTTAGCAGCAGTGCACGAAATGAGTACATCCTGTATTTTTCTTCTCCCCGGTTTGTATGACACCTTAAGGAATTGAACCCCATTTCTTGTGAACACAGTCATAGAACTGGTGATTAATCCCAGTAGTCTCCACAGCCCATGTACACGCTCACTCTTGCCAACTGAACAGTTATTGCTGAGTTAGAAGTGATATCAGTAATATTTATAAATATAGAAGTCTTTGGCAAATGAAGAAACCCCCCATCTTTTGCCATTAAGTTTGATAAGCATAATACATATGCACCTGCCACCCAGCCTGTGACCACACAGCACTGTTCCCTGCAGCGGAATGAATAGAATAATACAACAGCTGTCTCACTGTCTGGATTTCATAAAAAGTTGTGTGGGTCATAGAACTTGAATAGATGATGGCCTTGTATTTGCCTTTGTAGTTGGTCACAGACATAATGTTACCAGAAGGGGAAAAAAAATTTTTTTTTTTTATAGAGTGTTTCGTTCTTTTTTTTTTTTTTCCTGAAGATTGTCAGGAAAGTACCTGTTCCTCAAAGCTAAACATCAAACTTAATACAGGGCTTCAAAGGGGAAGCCTGGCCATTCCTTTTATTTTGTTATTTTTTTTTTTAGTTTAAAGTTCAGAATTCACCTTGCATTTCCCCTTAGTAAAGAACATTTTGTACTTTTAAAGTCTGCAGATGTTTGAGGGGGGAAAAATGTCTGTTCTTTGGACTTAGCATGAAGAGAGCTAAGAGCTCCTTGTAACTTCTTCTCTTTTGTTTTAGATACGGGAAGATCGTCTCCACGAAGGCGATTTTGGATAAGGCAACCAACAAGTGCAAAGGTACGTGTGTCTGTGGGCCTCCGTGTGCTCAGTCACGGCTGTAGAAAGACGACACAACAGCCTTAGGTTTCACAACCAACCTCAGGGTCTGAAAAAGCACATCTCGTGTGGCACCCAGTTTCTCTCTTGCACAATATCTCCATATTGCTTACGTTTGTTTTGTCCCTGGTTGAATTTTGGCTGGAAACCCGACAACTCGCAGTTTTCCAGAATTCTGGATTTGGCGCCAGTAGAGTTAACACGCAAACTACCAGTTGGCTTTCAGCCCTTGCCTTTAAAAGGGGGAGCAGAGCTGGAGAATAGCTTTTCTTTCCTGAGCCCAGGGAGATTAGAGCTGCTTACTGAAGACCATTGGACTGTACTAAAGAACTGAAAAAGATTACATATTGTGTAAATTGGCTCTATTAATTAGAATAGAGTAGTTTTAAGCAGTACTTAATTACATGTTTCAATACTCCCGATTGTTCTCTGCTGAATGCCTGTTGACAATATTGGCAGCGGGGAGGAGAGAACCATTTTCACTGACCAAATTGTACAGGGGAGAGGAGGTCATGTGGCTCTTTGAAATATGCTGCTGCATTAATTTGATGCACTGACCTTCAGTTTTCCATGCAATTAGGATGAGCTCATCCGGCTCCTTGAGTTGGGAGTGCTAGCGGCTGGAGCAGGGCATCGCAGATGCTGTGCCTCTGACTTTTAATGATCCAGCATCTTAACAATAGGCATGTGATTTCTAGGAACATGGAAGAATGGAGTCAGCTGACTTTGAATCTAACTACTGACCCTGGGAATTGAAGCAAGGTTGACAGAAATAGGCAGAGAAGGCAAATCTGCTCATTAATTAGACCCTAGTTCTTCAAGTAGTGGTGATGGGGCACTGGCTTAGCAATGAAAACAGCAGGAGCGTAAATGGAGCCTATGGTGCGGCCTCTGCTTGTAAGCCGGTCCTTCCCTTTAATCTTGACTTGAAGTGGTCCATTGTACTCTCTCCTCTTCAAAGTGCCTGGATTTAAAGGAGCTATTGTGGCAAATATCTAAGCCCATGTTTAATCAACATGGCATATTAAGGCAGTTTTGCCTTAGGACAGTGAATAGAATGTGCCTTATGTAGAATGGTACCCAATAAATATTTAAAATGAATTAAACCAGAGAGAGTCAAATGCGTGCAGAAGTGCATGCACTTAGCTTCCAAGATTAGTCTTACTTAACATCAATAAATGATTTGGGCAATCCGAGAGACACACACACACAAATACAAACAAACAAACAAACAAACAAAAAATGCCCTTTAGTTTTATGGCGAAAAATAGGCTCTTGCCAAGCCCAAAGCAGGAAGCTGATCTCAAAGTGAATCTTGGATAAATGGTTTTAGCCTGCCATACCTCTCTCCCTTTCTTCCTTACCCCAAAGGAATCTGGTGTGGCAGTTCAGGATGCTGAACAGCCAGAGAGGCCCCTCTAAGTAGCGAAGAACCCCTCCTCCCACTTACACTCTCCAGCCCATGCTACACTGAAGGACACTGCTGTTCTCTTCAACGGCTGCTGTTTTCCTAGAAGCCAAAATTCTGCCCCATGCTCAGCGTGGCCTAGGCAAGGGCATGAGTAAAAAGAAATGACAGCTAGTCTCACACTACCATATGCAAAGCTGCATTGGAAAGGATCCATAGATAAAGTAGAGAGATTAATGAGGCTTCTAAATAAAAAAAGTAAAGGTGATTCTGAACTGACACTCAATCCGGCAAGTGGCCTGGACAGCAGGTCTTGGGAGACACTGCCCTGTATGGGACCAAGCATGATCCCTCCCAAGCTTCTCAGTCTTCTGCCTCTGGACAGTGTACAGCTGCTGTGTAGAGGCATGGCATGTGGTAAGAGGAGAAGGTGATCCAGAGTGGGTTTATAAAGTCATGTAGACCAGGATGAGTTTGTGGGATGGGGGAGTAATGTTGAGACAAGTGGGAAGTAACTGGTTCATAATAAAGGCAGATAACATGCTACCCATGGTAACTTGCTATGGTTGGTATATGTGTATGTATATATGTGTGTATAGTTCTTTTTTCACTTATAGTTGTGGTGAATATAGATAACTTAGAACATAAGAAATTATAGAAAATTACTGTAAGTGGGAAATACTATATTAAATATAATTTTTAGAGTTTAAATATATTCAAGAAATTCACACATGATACCAAGACATCTTAGAAGGTCAGGAGACTTTTCTGCAAACTTATTTGGAGGCTCCTATTTTGGACAAAGTTAAGCTAAAGAAAATGGTAAGTCTGCTTAAAGTATGTTAGTTATTGAAGATTCAGTTGGTATTTTATATTTCAGTGGGTTTTAAGTGCTTACCACACAGGCAGGTCAGGGCAGAGAAGCTCACAAAGGATTGACTAGGAAACTGAGTCACAGATGAGAGGAGGGCTCGCACATGCTTTAACACATAAGGAAAAGGTGGATGAGGATCAGTTAGACTGATAAAGCAAGGGCAGAGACTTCATTTTATTACCAACAAGCCTGTGTCTGAAAGAAGCCAAGGCAGAAACGGAAAGCACAGCTCACCCATATCCAGCTATCTCACAATGGGGGCGGACTTAAGTAAGCAAGATAAACATGACAGTTGGTGGCCTTAAGACCCGATGATTTATCTCCTGGGAGCATTCAGTGAGCAAATCTGCATGTTAGTTAGGAAGCCCCGCCTTCAAAGATTTCGGTACCCCTGTTTATGTAATGAAATCTAATCCTGTAGACCCTGTATAAACTTTTATAGATCTTTACTTGAAAGTAGCACGGGTGAACGGAAAGCACAGTAGTTATGAATTCTCAGAGTAGGCTTCAGCAAAGACCAGAAACACACAATAGCGATGACTGAACGCAACAGCTGTGTGTTTCTCTTATTAAGTCAATACAAAGAATGGCTCTATTACACAAGCAGACTGCAACCTCAAGTACAATAAATGGCATCAGAGTAGAGATGTTCTGCTTATTGCAGTGTATTAGCAGTGGCAGGGTTGGTGGTAGAAATGTTCATCGGTAAGAGCTGCATCATTTCAGTATAGTGGGGTGTTCATTTTTGATCCCCAGCTATTGTGTTGTATGAGAAAGACAGATATAGAGGTTGCCTTATTACCCAGAGAGACACATATTAGCATAAGCTCCAAACATGTTCAACCTGTCTTCTATCCTGGCAGTTAGGGTTGTGCTCTGTGCTGTAACTAGGATCAGCAGCTTCCTCTCCCTTCCCAACCTGGCTGTTTCTGTACTAGATTAATCCAGTGAAGCCCCTCTCAGCCCAGTTCTAAGTAATGTAAAGAAGCCGTTGCTCGTTGCCTCTTCCGCCTCTGTCTCTCCAGAAACAGCCACTTCCGCAGCCGATAGTCTTCCATGGCAGCTTACCTTGTGAAGAAGCAGTGTTTGAAGCTAGTGTGGCAACATGGCTGTTGAGTGTTCTTTTGACTTCATTGCTGTATACTTGTCCCTCTGATACCAGTACAACACTCTCAGAACTGCTATTCCTTCATGAATTCTCAATATCAATGGTCGGCCTGGTTCCTCCTCTTCACAACCTTCTAAATAGTGCCACTCTTTTTCAAATTATACTTATTAAAATGAATTTTAGAGCCCAGTGTGGGAGTCCATGTACTCATGAAGGCAAGGAGCAGTGCAGGTCCAAGGTAGCCTGGGACACATAGCAAGACCGTGCCTCAAACAAAAATTTCAAAAAATTAAATAAATACATTACACATGTGTATACATATATGTACGTACAAGTATAATAAGAGTTATGTACCTACACAAAAATAAAACTTCATAAGTGACATGAGTTCAGAAAAAAAGCTGATATTTGGGCGAGTCTCCTTCAAGTTGTACTAAGTGTACTTAGGTGTTCCTCAGTATGTGAAGAGTTACTAATGCAATGAGAAGGGATTGTCTGTTTTCAGGCAGTGACTTCTGACGCATCTGCGAGGGTTGTGGGCTGTTTGCGCCTTACTGTGACCGTCCTTCTCGCTTGTCTGCACTGCGAGGTGCCATCCATGTACATACTTTGCAGTCCTGACCACCTCAGCCCTCTGCCTCCTAACTTCCTGTTTTAATTTATTGTGGCCTGGGAGCAGAGACAATAAGCTCATTAACAGTGTTTGTGAAACCACAGGCAAGTGAGCTCAATGCAGTGACCTTTCGTAGGTGGTTGTGTGTATCACCACATTGCACACTGTCCTTAGACTTTACACAGAGGTGAAGTAACTATTTCAGGTATCTTGAGGTATTTTCATTATCTCCGTTAATTTGAAAGGAGCTATGGTTATTTTAGGTAAATGAGTACTTTTAACTAGGTACTAAAATTTAGATTATATTTGAGTATCAATACTCAAATATTTATACTTATTTTAACTGCTAAACCTAAGGGATAGTCTATAGATACATAATGTTTGTTTCTGTCGCTTTTCAGCTCAGTCAGATCGCTCTGAGTGTTTTGTTGTATTCTTTAAAAGTTTGTCTGAAGTTGTCTGTCATAACACCCCTTACACTTTTTTTTCCCCTGGAAAGCAACTTAAATGTCAGGGTTTTTTCCAACTATCAGACACCTGCGAAGATCTTTAAGAAGACGAAGCTCAAAGCTACCCCTCCCCCAAACATGCATACACACTCGCACACGAATACTTCTAAGAGATGTTTTGAAGGACCTGTGGAAGCCAATGTACCATGACTGTGGGTACCTGTGTGCCCACAGGACACCTCTGCTTCTGTTGTCTATATTAGAACCAAAATGAAGTCTCTTTTGAACACCTTACATAATTAAAAAGTAATGACCTGAGGAGAGTGTCTTTTGCATTTCAGGTTATGGTTTTGTAGACTTTGACAGTCCTGCAGCAGCCCAGAAAGCTGTCTCCGCCCTGAAGGCAAGTGGAGTCCAGGCTCAGATGGCAAAGGTGAGTGGAGGCCTGTGTTCCTGAAGGTCATTGTCCGTCCATCCCTCTAAAGGCTGAGGTGCAGCCAGGCCCTCTCAGCAGTAGCAGTTACACAAAGGCTTTCCTCCTCATAGTCCAAAGGAGGATTGATTCATGTTCTAAACGAGAAATTGACAAATGTATATACTTTCTGTACTGTTTAACACCACGTGTAAGTCCAGAAATAGCACCTGATTTTGGTGGGTAATCAAAATTCCAGAAGGCTTTCAGATCTATACTGTTTTCTTAAAATAGAATTTTACAATTCTTTGCCCAAGGATTTAATCCTTTGTAGGCAGACCTCAGAGAGAAGGTAATAGAATATGTCTGTCTCCAAACCAGAATGGAAAGCTGTCTGAAGGGAAGGGGGAAACCAACAATAAGGAGAGAGAAGGAATGGGGAGGGTATATAAGAACGAAATATCATAGTATATCTGTATATTATGTCACAGGGAAACCCATTTCTTTGTATGATAAATGGGAAATTACTTTGATAAGATAATTGGGGAGGAATTGGAAGATGACTGGTTGCTAAAGTGATTACAAACATGACGACTTGGGTTCAGATCCCTTGCAGACATGTAAAAAGGTACCTGAGTAATCTCTGTGCTGGACAGGGAGCAGGAAGAGGTCACGGGCTTGCTAGCCAGCCAGTCTAGCTGAATTAGTGAACTCCAGATTCAGTGAGAGATTTTGTCCAAACATATGGTGGAGAGCTATGGAGAAAGGCATCTAATGTAAACCTCTGGCATCCATACATAGATACACACAATTAAAGATAGAAAAGGTAATTGTTCACAGAATGTCGTATTTTGAAAGGATGTATAACTGGTTCACACGTGGATTTATACAACTGAGAGGCTGGGTATAAATGGATACCATGGTGATTTTTTTTTTCGTGGTGATTATTTAATGTAATGTGAATCTATCCTTCATTAGTTTCATATAGACTTTATTCAAGACTTGTTTCTGGTGAACTTTTATCATCCTAGCCGAGGATTATTGCTGAAATACTCCTCCAAGTGAGGAATATGCCTAAGTGATCAAGGACTATAAAAGGGAGACCATATGTTCCATGCTTCATAAGCATTCTAGCACAGTATGCATGGGTTTTAATTACTGTAAGACAGAATGCTTTCCCTGAGTTGTGTTCTCTTTTCCTAGTTTCCTAGCAAGATTAAAAACCTAAAGAAATTGTATCTCAAGAACAAACAAACAAACAACAAAAAACCCCTAGAATCCAAAATGTCATCACTTAGAAACGTGAAGGGATTGACTGACTAGCCTGTGTCTCTTTTCACCTCAGATTCATCATTAGAGTCAGGGTGCTTCTGGTGAGATGGCTCAGCCCATAAACGTACTCACTGCCAAGCCTGATAATGTCGGTTCAATCCCTGGAACCAATATGGTAGATGGGGAGAACTAACTCGTATAACTCCCCTTCTGATATCAGTAAGCACACTGTAGCACATGTGTGCAAATACATCCACATGTATATAACTGATCCAGTGTACTTACAGTACCAAAGTGTTCACGGCCAACCTGCATTCAGTGAGCCTTTTCTTTTTCTACTAGGTACGGTCTCACATAATCCAAGGTGTTCTTGTACTCCCTATGGAGTTGAGGGTGACCATGAACTTCAGAGCCTTTACCTCCTCCTCCTGAGTATTGGGACTAAAGACATAAACCACTGGATGTAGCTTTCCAGTAAGCATATTTTTATTAAAAAGAAGAATCAGAGAAGAGACAGCCCTTGAAGCACTGTGCATCTCTTACATGCAGTGTTCAGTAGCAGGAATTTCACTATGCACTAAAACCTTCTTAGAGTCATATTACCTAAACCAGTATTTAACTTGGGCCCTGGTCTTCATAGACCAAATGTAAGCATGGGTAACATCCTTACACCTAGTACCTAAAGTACATTAATGAAAGTAATCAAGGGTTTTTCTTTTCTTTCCCTGTATCAGTTGTTATAGCAAATATCTTCAAGCCTAAAATTTGGCAGTATGTTATTTCAAGTCTTTTCAAAAGAGCAATAGTTTTCTATTATCAGGCTTTATGAAGTGCAGAGGAAAATAAGTGAGCACTGTCGTCGGCTACTTCTGAATGAGTAGCAGACGCTCACTCCCTGAGGAATGTTCGCATGTGCAGGAGAGAAGCTTATGGAAGTTCAAGGACTGTAAGGAAGACATGTATCACCTACAAGGACCTGAGAGATAAGATAGCTTCTCAGAGTCTGTAGCTGCCAACATGGAGGTACTTTGAATAAGAGCATCAACACAGATAATGTTTTAGGAATTCATAAAAAGGATTCCTTTTCTAAAATAATCTCTTCCATATAATCCTCATGGCGTGGCACAAAACTGGACTATAGGTATTCATCACCACCAGAGTAGAAATTAAGCAAAACAGAAAACGAAAAGTAGAAAGCATCCTGGTTTTCAGATGATTGCCCCATCCTGTGAGCAATGTCCAGTGTGATGTTGAAAACCTATGAGAGAGTAAGCAAGTGTGACCACAGGGAGCCTGCCTTGCTTTCTGATTTGTAGGGCATTTACTGTGGCCCTGCCATCAGTGCATGACTAGACATGGACAAGCAGGACAGAGCTTACCCAGAAAACCACAGTGCTATCCTTCACTCTCCATCCTAAGTCACTCTGCGAATCTCCCCCTTTAGATAATATGCAGGATGATTCCCATGGCTTCTGCAGTTACTCCCATTTCGGAAAATCCTGTCTCTTGATTTTTGACAGCATAAAATATAGCATCTCTTTCAGTACATTTAGAGCCATTCCTCTCTGTTCATGTTGCCCAACCTCATTCGATGATATTTAAATAAAGGTTTATTAGAGGGAAAGCCTTACTATGTTTCAGAAGCAGTATAATGTGGGGGCATACATAGAGGTTTCACTAACTGCCCAGAGCCCTACAGAACACATGAGTTTTGGCTGCTGCTGGTTCTAAGGGACCAGGCATCACAGCCTACATTGCAATTAGTCGCTGGCAACTGTATTGACAATTTGGTGATCTGGAAGCAGCATTTTGAAGGTTTCCATCCTAACAATCACTAATTATGTGCATATGTAGAAGGACATGTGATGAATGGGGCTTAGTTACATCGTAGCTCAATCTAATTACATTTTAGAAGATTGGTTGGGGGGTTGTCATTAGTGTATAATGTATTATAATCTTTCTTACTAAAATAATGCAAAATGTTTTAACATTTAACATTTTGAAGTTAAATACCTGATTTTCAAGAAGAAATTATTAAGGCATGGTGTGTAGTGCTTATAATTTAAATATATACTCTTACTTCACAGAAATTCTGAGTATCAAGCCCCATTAGTGAAGATTCCCTTCCCCTGAGTCAGGCGTGTTTGCAGTGTGTATTTGTACCCAGCCTCTCAGCTCCTTAGCTGTGTTTTTTAACCCCTTCAGAGTTAGAGCAATATCAAATATGGAAAGGTTTATTGACCTATCAGTGATCTAGCCTGGTGTTGACTTCTTTCCTGGGCAACACACTGATGGTCTTTCTCATAAAGTATTCTTGGGAGTTTCTCTGAGCTCTCTACCCAGTCTGTCACCCATTCCCCAAGCTAATCATCAGCCTTGCTCTGATGAAGTGTCTCCCTGCCTCCTAGACAGCCTTCTGAGAGGAATCTAATTCACACTAGGACCACTTTGTGTGGCCACTTCTTTTGGGTATTTGGTATTTTGGGGGTGAGAGGTCTTACCACATAGCCTAGGGTGGCTTTTAATCCGTGATTCTTCCACTTGTGGCTCCTGAGTGCTAGGATTATTCAGTGTGTTGCCAAGCCAGCTTCCAGTGAGTCCTAGCTTCTGTCTACCCCTGCCAGCCATCAGGAAGACAGTAATTACTTCCCAGCCATTCTGGTAGGCCCTTTCAATCAGCTTTCTCCTTCCCCATTGTTCAGCTTTTGAATCACGCATAGACCCATTGTATACAGCAAGCTGGTGGGATACAGATCAAGCTTTGTGTCAGGTCTGCCGACAGCCCTGTTGCTCGGCTGGGAACAAGAGGGTAGCAGACCACATGTGGAGGCTCAGAACATGGCTGCGTTTCTTTCCACGTGAATGTCATTCTCAGTCTCTGTTTCTCTTTCAGACAGATAAGAGCTAGATGCACACATCCTAATCCAATTCACAGCCAGATTCTGGCAGGCTTTCTCTAGGTCGTCTGGTTTCTTGCTATGGATCCCGAGATCACCAGCACACACATTGTTGAAACTGAGTTAGAAAGAAGCCTGTTTTATCAGCCGATTGAAAAGTGCAGAGGCCTTTATAGGGTAGTCCCGTACATACACTCTAGCACCTATAATACTAAGGAGCATAATATTTTAACTAAACTCTGTTTGGAAGAAATCTTTACCATTCACTTATTCAAAAGAGGATTGAGTGTGGGTTGACTATCTAGGTCATATCAGTGATGCACTCTGAATGCCAGCCCCATTTAGTGACTGCAAGGCTTTATTCTGCAAGGTAGGTGGGGGAAGTGATTCTCCATCATCTGTGGGGAGGACCAATGCGCAGGTTCAGGGATGCTGGCTGTGTACCACAATTCTGCAGAGTATAAATTTCAGAACCTGGTTTCCTTTTTCCTTTTAAAGTTACAAATTAACATTTTTAGATGCCAGCAGCTCTCTTGTTCTCTACCATAAAATTGTGGGCTTGAGTGTCAGGACTTAATTCTCTGATGCTGATGCAGTCAAGGATTACCTTGAGAACATCTTTTGGGGAGATGGTTTTTTATAAAGGAAGTTTAAGTCTGGCTGTGTTGTTGTGTTATCAGAGAACACCAAGGTGGCTGTTTCTCTTAACTCCACAGCCTTGCTCAGTAACTACCATGTGGTGGACATGAAGTGCCTGCTTTATTGATTTAGAAATAACAGCTAATTAAGAGAAAAGCCTTATTCCAAGGTTGGACAAAGACTGGGAACTCAGAAAGAGAGGCTTGGAAATTG